CTCACTCTGTCTCCCAGGCTGGCTTGGAACTTGTAATACATTTGTTTCCACCCTTGGGTCAGCCAGGAGTACATGAACGAACTATCATATTCTACTACATTCTTGCAGAGCTTGGGTTTTGGAAACTTGACTGGGAGTGACAAGGGAATGAAGAAGTGATAGGCACACAGATAGAGAGAAACTGGGACTGGGTGGGCTGGGATCTCTGATGGAGAAGTGGCAGCATGCTTATTACGTAGAGCTAAACAAGGAGGCAGGCTTAGCTAATCTCAGTCTTCAGGCTGTAAACATCCAGGGGGAGAAAACTATGATGGACATTTTCTGCATCCACTATTAACATTCATACCAGGACCAGAGGGAGACTTTGCTGTCCTTCTGAGTCTCTCCCAGGGAAGGCTGGGGCGCTGGGCTCCTTGACATGGCAGTGTGCATGCCAAATAGTATGTCTTCACTCAGGACTTCCCAGGCTTGCTGCAATACCTACCCTGTAACACAGCTTAAAGAGGTTGAAGGGGAAGAATAGTGAAGGTACCATAACGTATAACTTGTGGCACATTTTCATTCATTTAGTTGAATTTTGATACAGACTCTACACATACCGGGGCAATCACACTTGAATGTTGCTTTTGGAATTTTGCCAACAATGTGTTCTGGTGGAGCTTATGAATAGCAGAGCCTACCCTTAGAGTGTATTATTAACACAGCAGAAAACCATTGCTGGGTGTGATTATGGTCAGCGAGGTACCAGGAGCAGGTCAGGGGGTGCAGCCCATTTCCATTTCTTTGGCATGTTTAACAGGGTGGCTTTTGTAGTCTGAAATAACCCGTTCTATTGTGGCCAACTTTTTCTTCCCTCCTAACTGCACAGTTGTCATATTAGAGTCACAATGAAGCCACCTTTCCCAAGTGACAGGGAGTGGCTGGCTGGATGAATACGTCCCTGTCACTTGGTCTGTTCCTGTCATAGGCTTGGCAGGTTTCTCTTGATCCTGTCCGACTTAACTGCCTTCCCTGCAGACTCAACCTCCAGCCCTTTGTTGCCCTAAACATTTTCCTCAAAGCTCTTTTATAAACTTTTTCTTTCCTGCTCTAGTTTCTCTCCCTCTCACCTACTTTGGCTTGGAGCCCTGTAACAATAGTGAGAAAGAAAAATATATTCTCGTGGTGCGGTCAGGAGGAACAACAACGTATGATTAAAGAGACAGCTCAACTTTTCAGCTCTGGTGCCTTCTTGCCTGCTCAGTGATGGTTGGACGAGCAGGATGAAATGATTGAAAAGAGTTGGCTTCTCCCAATTAAATCTGTCACTGTCAACTTTGCCCATCGTTAAGAAGAACAGATTGGTTTTTTTCCCTTTCTAATTAGTTACTTGTTGATATGTGAGGAAAAATTAAGGCAGAAGGAGATAGGAAAATTATCAATTTTCTTTTGTAATCAGAATTGATTCCTGTGACATCCAGATGTCAGCATGAGAGACTGCTATTTATCTGCTAGATTTAGTTTGCTCTTTCTTGGTAGTAAAACCTCAACTTTTTTCCCCCTTTGGCTAATTAGCAGTTGCCTGGAATACAGGCTGTATGTCCAGCCTGTCCTGCAGTAAGTAGCCTGTATACGGAAAGCCTGTGAATGGGTAGACCATGTACAGGTTCTCAAAAGATCCTGGAAGACTTGCTTTCTCTTCCCTCTTCCTAGGAGGAATGGAGGTGTGATGGCCGACCTCATTTAGTCAACTGGTATCATGATGTTTCTCTCAGAGTTTGGGTTATTAAAAGAAATACGCCATAGGCTGGGTGGCTTAAACCCTTCACGGTCCTGAAAGCTGGCATGTTGATGGATCAGGTGCCAACAGTTTTGGTGCCTGGTGAGATCCCCTCTCTTGGTTTACAGAGGGTCACATCCTCACTGGCTGGAGATGGCAGCAGGAATGTAGAGAGGTCGTCTCTTTTTGTTTCTTGTCTGAAGGTGTTGATGCCACTGATGGATGCTCCACCCTCATGGCCTAATTGCTAAAGGCCCCACCTCCAAATACTTTTGGGGATTAGCATGTCAACACGTGCATGTGAAAAGACATTTGGCCCACACGAGATGAGAACGAAGCTTGGGCACCCAAGGGACCTCCGGACTGCTTGTGTGTGTACTGGAGATGACCCTGTGCAGCTGCAATCCCTCCGGACTGCTTGTGTGTGTGCTGGAGATGCCCCTGTGCAGCTGCAATCCCTCCGGACTGCTTGTGTGTGTGCTGGAGATGCCCCTGTGCAGCTGCAATCCCTCCGGACTGCTTGTGTGTGTGCTGGAGATGCCCCTGTGCAGCTGCAATCCCTCCGGACTGCTTGTGTGTGCGCTGGAGATGCCCCTGTGCAGCTGCAATCCCTCCGGACTGCTTGTGTGTGTGCTGGAGATGCCCCTGTGCAGCTGCAATCCCTGCCATTTGTCATTTTCTCTCAACAGGAAGCGGAACATAATCTTAACAGATTCATCTGTGAGACTTGTGTGGTGCAGGGGAATTTTTGGAGATTCTTGTCATGTCAGACTTCTACCTCTGAAACAGAGGTTCACTTCATCTAGTAGACAAGAAAATCTGAACTCTTACCAGTAAATGCATGAGGGTTTCCACAGCGTCCGAGCTCTCTGATGTCACATGGGGCCACCATGATGATTTCTCTTACAAACCACAGAGTGCTTCGATTTGCCTTGCTCTCTTTCCTCTCCCATGCTTCCCCGAAATCATTAAAATAGAAGTGGAACAGAGCGTTCAGGGATGACCTAGGGTGGCGTGTGGGGCAGGAATGGGCAAGAAGACAACCTTACAGAGTGGTGTATCTTAATCCACACAGTGATAGGGCATCTGGTGGCCAGCAGCTGGTCATGGGCCAGCATCTGAGACTAGTGAGGAGGGAGCCAGGCTGAGAGAGGTGGGAGAAGAAGGTTTGTCATCGAGATGCGCATATTTTGTCTCCAGAGCCTATTCCCCTTTAGGACTTAGGCATGGACTATGTGGATCAGCGGGAGAAAGCAAGTTCTGTGTCTAAGTCTATACTGACCTGGTACAGCCAATTAGGGTTGCTGTTCAGTTGTATAGAGCAGGGCACATTTGTGCAACCAATAAGAGGGTCTGAGGGAGGAGTTTTAGTTCCAGGAGAGCCTGGGTAAGCATGTTCATTGCCTTTCACGTTTGACTGGTCATGGCCATGTAAACGCTGGAGCTATAGATCTGTGCCCTGGCATTCTTGGAGATATTTTCAGGGATTTAGACCATTGCTGTCTAATAAATACTTAATGAAAATCATGCAAAAAGTTTTAGATTTTTTAGTAGTCACAGTAGTCTATACCAAGTCACTTGTGGGAGGGACATGTGCCTCAGTTGGGAACTGAAAAACAAGCAAGTTTAAAGTCGGGCAAGGAACAGAGCATGGGTGTAGTTTTGTTTAGCCTTTCTCCTCCACATGCTTACTAGAGACAATGGGCTAAATTGACGGTGGGACCTGTGGTCACAGGAAGATCCTAAGTTATAGGGCAATGTCACACAGACTGCTGGGTAGGGCGCAGTTGAGAATGTATTGGTGCCATGCACCTGTCAGAGAAACGTAGCCAAACTCATGAGGACCAGTGGATGGGAGAGTCCAGGCAAGGGGCGGACCCCCAAGTGCTTTGCCTTGCCACCTGATGAGGGATACTTAGGAAATTGAACCAAGTTTCTTTTGGCTCACAGTTCTGGAAACTCAAGTCCAAGACTGTGAACCCATCAGCCTGTCTGGCCTTCTTCTGAAAGTTGTACATTATGGAGGAAGCATGTGTTATCCTGAATACCCCCACCCCAAAGCCAGGAGCTCACTGGAACCATAGCAAGGACATAATGAAAAATGATCTGGGTGCAGTACCCAGTCACCAAGGCCATGAAAGTCAGGGACAGGAGATATTCTGAGACTAAAGAACACTGAGAAGGGTTGGCAATGCCGTGCATTGTAGATTCAAAGTTTTCTTGCAAACAAATGGGGTGTTTGTTGAATGGGAGCTGACATTACACTTGGCCATGATCTTGGTTTAGATGGTCATGTAGGACCTCCCCCTACCCCCATATTCCCTAAGTTTATGGGTTAGTGGCTTGGTCTCAGTGGACCAGACTAGGAAGGTTTGCTCTTGAATTATATTTTGAATTCTTCTATAACTGATGGAATGATAACAGACATTAAAAATGTTATACTTAGGGGCAGTTCTTGCTGTCTCCAGAGCAAGCTGGCAATGGTTCTTTTCTAACCTCTTTAAACAAAAATTTCAACTTCATTAAAAGAATGTGCTTAGAGACAGAGTATTAGAAGAAAATTTATATATATATATGTGTGTATATATTATGTGTGTGTGTGTGTGTGTGTGTGTGTGTGTGTGTGTATACACCCTGTAGAGTTTTGGAACCCAGTGGACCGTGGCAAGTTCCTTGGGGACACAGATAGAGCCTGTCATTAGGCTGGAAACTGGCAAACAGTACGCATTCCAAGTCAGTACTTTCACTTATCAACTAAATTATGTTTAGAGGATGTCAGAGAGGTTTATCTCTGATCCTGCAGTTATCTGTAAAGGAATTCCAGTGTGGACAGTGGGGTGGAGCTGTGCTCCTTGTCTACTTACATCAGTTGGATATGAAGGTTTTCTTTGGTACTTTGTTTTGTTTCTCTGCAGTCTTGGACCTTTCTTCTGAGCTGCCCTATATTGGAATGGATGATTTGAGTTAGGCCAGCTGACCAGGTCTCCAAGTAAAGCTAAGCAGTCCTTGTAATGTTTGATCTGTAACAGGAATCTCATTAGCTCCAACGTGCCGTGCTAATTGCACCATTTATTGTCTGGCTTCTTTGCCCCGTCTAGCACTGAGAAGACAGTTTGCATGGATCCTAGCTTGTATTCTGAGTGGCACGCGTCTCAACCTTTAAAAATAGTTTTGCAGCCTATCTGGGAGAGAAGGGAGTGCAACTGTAACATTCCTGACTGTTTTGTTCTTTCTTTTCCAGTCTCCTTGGCCCATATCACACAACTGGTGCTCAGTCATAACAAGCTAACAAGTAAGTGAAGCTTCTTTTTCATTACATGGCTTCCCGCCTATATTTTGCCACAGTGCTGCTGATTCTGTTATTCTTTCCACTAAAGAAAGTAATGAGAAGCGATCACTTGGGACAAAATTGAAGTTTATTTAGGTGACAGTGAAAATGTGTATGTTCCCCTTCTCTCTCTCTGCATTCTGTGCTTGTCTCTGCTTTGAGAATGCTTTCCTATCCTGAATCCGCTGGGGAATGGAAATGCCTGGCCAGTGGTTAACATTTCCTAAGGAAAGTATTGAGCTGGGTGTGGCTGTGCAGGAGGCTGAGGCAAGATGATGCCCAGGTATTCAAGTCCTGGGTGCCCCTCCCACTCTCAACAACTAAACAAAGGTATGTTAGAATAAAAATTGTTTTCTCCTGTATTTCTTCCTACAGTGGGGAAGATTTCATTGTTGGATATGCTTTTTGTCCCTGCTTTATAAATGGACAAAAGCTCACAAAATTGTCTACATTGAATACATCTCTCTCTCTCTCTCTCTCTTTTTTTTTTTTTTTTTTTTTTTTTTGAGGCTGGTTCCGGGCCCCTCCTGTGGGATTCTCGCGGGCATCCATGGTGTTTTGAAGTGCTTCACATGCAGCAGAATTAATACCTGTTTTAAAAGGAATATCAGAAGTGAACGATGGTCCAGTTCCCTCTTGGCGTTAAGGCTTTAAAGACTTTAATGGCCGGGGCCCACTCTCCTTCCTCCTTCCTAATTGACTGTCACATCTTCCCACTCGCCAGATTTCCTGCAGACTTGAATGATTTTCTAGTCACGTGGCAAGCATTTGTTAGGGGCTTTCCGAGTCCGATGGCGTTGAGCGGAATGTCATGTTGAGGGATTTGTATTGTGAATTTATGTGTGCGTGTGCATTATACATAGCCAGAGGCAATGTCAGCGAGCTGTTGATTATTGAGGATTAAGAGTGGCAGTAACGGAGGGCCCCTCATGTGCTAGAAACGAGCCGATTAGCTCATGTTTAGGCAGAATGCATGTTTGTAAGGAAAGGCGGAGTGGCAGCACTGTTGTGTTTAAGTAGCAGTGACCACAGAAGCTGAAAATGAGATCTCCATGTCCCACGTAACCTTTGTTGTTACAGGTAATGTGCTGGTTGTGTTGTTTTCATAGCCCCCGTCTTGCTGTATTCGATGACCACAGTTCCAGTTCAGAGGAGCTTTGCAGTTTGTTTTGAAAAGTGCCCCATACATGATCTCAGAATTCCCTGGGACTTCCCAGGAGGAATTCTCTGTACTCCGAGTTTGTAGTTTATAAAAGTCTTAGCTGATCAGTAGGTCTAAGGTTTGTTCGCTTAGATTTGCGCAAGACAGTCGGATGCGTTGCATCCCTATAGATCATTCGTCAATCTAGATTTTTAAAAAGCATCCCAATAGCTGTTTTTTGTTTCACTTTGCACACCTGCAGACCGGAGCCGTAGGAATCAACGGGTCAATCTGTCTCTTTCTCCATCAGATACTTTAGAGAGGTGTAAATGTGGTAGACTGTGACCATGAAAGAATCCAAACTTGGTCTTTTTTCCCCATTTGCTTCTTCTCCCTCCATGTGAGAAACTCTTGACCTAATCCAGTAAGCGTTAATTAATCGTCTTGGTAGACTCTATTTCAAGCCGTCCTGTAGTGTCAGTGACACCCGATCTGTTCTACTAAGGTCAAATTAGCATCTTTTACTATTTTTCTGGCATTTAAATGAATGACTTCGCTGTGGTTTTTCAAGTGTTTATAGTAAATATGTCCATTTGATGGAAATATAAATATGCATTAAACGTTCACGGCTGAACCCACCCTCCTGTCACTTTCTATTCTAATCAGTGTCTTTCACTTCCCATTGCTCTTTAATAGGGGCCGCCTGACAAGGCTACATTAAAACCACTGGGACTCAAAATACAACCCCCTCAGCACTGCTTACTTTTGTCTCGCTAAAATGTTTGTGTTTTTCTCTCACTGTGCCAATTACACTGCTCTCTGACATTTCTTCTCGCCTGCCTGCGGAAGGAATGACTAGCTTATCCAGACTGGGACCTTGTCTGACGACACCATTTGCTTCTGAGTTAACATCTGCAGAGACGTCTGATCACTGTGGCGCTGGGTTGACAGCCCTTTTCCTGTTGGGGTTTTGACCTTGATAGATCCATGTAGGGCGATACACTACAAGTGAGGTTATCAATACCTTAAGGAGGCCTTTATCATTCCTGAGGTTGTCCGATATTTTTGTGTGCAGAATGTGTGTGTGTTTAAGCGTGTCATGTGTTCACGTGTGTGGGTACATGAACACATAGACACTGGAGCTTGAAGCCAAGTATCTTCCTTTGTTTTCTATTTACTTCTTGCACTGAGCGTGGGGCTCACCTTTTTGCCTAGGCTGGGAGCCACCTGTTTCCACCTCTCCCACCTGCTGGGATTACAGCTGCACCAACCTCCATGCTGTTTTTATTTGGGTGCTGAGCATGTAGACTTGGGTCCCCGATCTTATAAAGCTGCCCAGTACTCACCCAGCCCTAGAATTGTATTTGACTTTTTATTTTACCTGAACTCATTCTTTCTTTATGTAGATCTAAATCTGACTTCTTTCTAAAGAGCTGTTATTCATTCATTTACTTATTTACGATGCCAGGGATGAAACCCAGAGCTTTGTGAATACGAGGCAAGCATACTGCCAGTCCAGAGATTCTTGAAGCCTTGTCTAAGAAACAACAAAAATGAAAAATCAAGGCCCAAGGTATAACTGTTGGAGCTTCATTAAAGTTGGGTGACTGGGGAAGTGCTGATGGATTCTGATAAAGTCACTTAGGGAACTAATGTCAGCAGTAACTTTCCCAGACCTGCTTGCCTTTGTGGGAGGCCTGGCCAAGGATCTGCCTGCTGGGACGAACGAATCCAGTAAGAAGAGAGACAAGACAAGTGTTTATCACAGTTGTCTGTCCCTGACCACCTTTGCCATGACCTGTGCGAAGTCATCCTGTGTGATCTTCTCCAGCTGGCTTCTTAATTTGGTCCTAAACATTTTGGAGATGTTAGCATCATTGCAAAGAATTTCTGTGGGAGACAATCATTTCAAGTCTTGTCCACTAGAGGTCACTGTTGAGACACACATTTGACTCTGGAACCCACCCCCCCCCCCCCCAGGTCTGCTACCTAAGATTGAAAAACAAGTTCCTGTTGTCAAAAGAAATGTTTTTGGCAGCTCTCTGACTTGGCTTTGTACCACAGGGCATGTTGCTGTTGCCATTTACATCGTGAAGTTTTGTTACATTTACAATAGCTCTTTATCAAAGGAGCTATTTGGTTTTTATGTTTGGTTGTTAAAACTGAAATATGTATTCAGTTCCACACACCACTGTTTTTCACTGTTTATTATTGCTGCTTTCTTAAGTGAGGAACAGTTCTTTTCCCAGTAGGTCTAAGTAGAAGGAAATGTGTTCCTTGCTACACTGTTTCGTTTTGGGTGTCACTGAGATTTTCTATAGCAGGATGTTCAGCATACACATGCCTATGACCAGTTGTTAATTTACAAATAAAACAAATGGGAAATATTCATCTTGCTCACATTCATACTGATTTTTGCACTAATTAATAATGCTGTTTAGGGACAGATGCTAGGAGTTATCACATGGGTTTCCTTCAACCTGAGATGAAAGCCTCTAGACATTCATTTTCAACATGACGCTTCTCTTGACTTTGGAAAGTGATCCTGTATGAACAAGCGTCTGTAGGTACTGTAAGCAGCTTAAATAAAACAACAGCATGTCTCATTGTACAGCCCCTACATGTCGCGCATGGAGCCATCATCAGTTTGAGCTGTGAACTCAGATCACATCTCTTATCTTTGCTACCAGTGAGCAGCCCTCTGTTTTGGACAACGTGCCCCAAGTGTGTGTCTCTGAATGAAATCGTGCAGTTGGCTGCTTTAACTTTTAACTGTCACGTGGGACATTTCCTGAGGTATTGCCAGTTATGGCCGCAGTTTGGGATCTTAGCTGTGGGCTTTATCTTGTCATTTAATGTATTGGCAATGGCTTGTTAGGTAGTAAACCCAAGTATTATGGCCAGATATGACTTTTGAAAAGGCGATTTCCCATTACTGAGAGCTCAGATGTGAATCTGAAATCATAGTGAACAAGAAAATGCTAGGATATTTTCTTTAGTGATTTCATTTTTTAAAAAAAACCCGAGGTTGATATTCTGAGTACATAGCGAGTTAGGCCATTGCTTGTAAATTTTATGTAGACCAGTAGAATATGCACCACCAGTATCATTGTAAATGAACTGAGCAGGCTAAGGAAGAACACACAGCCCTGGGAAAATGTGCAGATTCAGAGGTAAAGAAGAAAATGGAACCGGTTTTAAAGGTGGGATACATTGACGACCTTCTCCATAGCCATAATGGGTTGTTGGATGAGCGAGAAGAATTTACTGTTCCAATTCATAATAATGACCTTCACCACCTTCTCAAGACCTTGCTGCTCCTGGCTCTGTAGTTACTCCCTCTCTCATAGCTTATCTGTCATCCCGTATGCAAAAATTTCTGTTCCGGGCTTGGATGAAATTAAAGTATGAAGGGGGGTATGCAAAATAAATCTCCTGCACCATGAATTTATCTTGTGACAATATCAAAACAACTTGCTGTTTGCATTTTAACAGAGCACAAATGTATTTATAACACAGAGGCTTTGATCAATAGCTTATTTTTTTAATTAGTGCACATTTATCAGTTTGTTATTGTGCCATCGTTTGAAAGATTGGAGTTGGAAAAGTGTGCACATAGTATTTTTGAACCCGACAGCTATTAATTAAACAATATCTCTCTGCTGTTCCCGGTCGTCAGGTTACCTTGAAAAATTGCCTGCAGTTGACCGTGTGCTGTTATTTTTGGCATCAGTAAGCAGGCATGTGATGTCATCACGTGTGAGAGAGTGGTCCAGCCCCAGGTCAGATCTCAGGCAGTGAGCGCAGTGAATGGAGATTGTTC